TATAACATCCTCGAACCAAAATTGTCTTGTTTTTGGTTGGGTGTCGACCGACACCAGTGTGGGTGTCGCTCGACACTCAAGTGAACTGAACTGGATTGGTTCGTTTTTCTTCGTCGGTTGGCTCGGTTTAGGGTGAAAACCCTAGTGCTCGGGTATTTAAAGAACTGCAGCCGCTGGAGGGTGTGGTTTTTGGGCAGAAAATAGAGAGTTGAAAGAGATTTGGGAGAAATCAAAGATTTTAATTGTTCCTTCATTGTTCTCTATCTTTGGGCTTTGTTTCGTGATTTATGAGGCTATAGGATCGTGTTGGATCCGTGGAATTCATGGGGAGGAAGAAGATTTTGGATTGGTGGATCGATTTTTGGAGCATTCTTCGTGTTCTTCGTCGTTTTCAATCCATTTTTCTTTCTGAATCGAGGTGAGTGTATGACCATAGGCTTATCTGGGTAAAAGAACTTATACGATGCGATTGTTGTGTTGTTTGGGTTAGTTTTCGTGTTCTATTTGGTGGATTTTGGCGCTGGAAATCGTTTTGTCGAGTTTCTGGGTTTTTGCACTTGGGTGTTGACCGATACTAGTAGGGGTGTTGTGGCAGGTAGAATCACACAGTTAGATTTGTTTAGGGTTCAAGGAGGATGGAGTCTTCCTTGTGCGAAATCACAGAACAAAAGATTGAAGATCGGTTTTTATTGCTGTTTCTGTAAAGCTTAAGAATACAAGAGTTTTGTGTAGAGAATTGCGGATCCCCTCCTAAGAGGGTTTACATCTGCTTATATAGTCCCAAGTCAATGAAGTTCCCCTAGAGAAATAAGGAAGTCTTCCTTATCTTCAAAGTCGGCTGCGCGGAGTGGGCTGCGCCAACCTGCTCGGCCCATCTCGCCATGTCTTGGGCTTGGCTTATCTTGTTATGGGCTCTGCTAATGGACTTCATTTCGAACTTGTCTTTCCCTCCAAGTGACATTCCCAGACTTGACGGGCTTAACACCATCGCTTCGCCGTTTCGATAGCATTGTCATGCCGCTGACTCATCCGGTAAGCCACCTCGTCGGATACTGGATAACCAGGTCAAGCAGTCGTTTCCCGTCTAGTTTCATACTTGGTCATTTTCCCGGTTTGATCTTACCGTGGTGGAATCCGACCCCCATAGTTAGCCCTCCAGCTCGGTAGTATCTAGTATGATGGTACCGAGGTGAGAAGTACTGCAAGTGTAAGATCAAAGTCCGTCCGTACCCACTTCGCAGTAAGCATCGGAAAACCATGTCGACCTAAGCTCCAGTGATTTCGTAAACTGAGCCTAGGCTGAACATTGTACTCTGAAATTATGCGACACCGAAGTATGTTTTGATCTTGCCTTGTCATGACTTTCTGAAATTTTTTTTTTTTATTAAGCCTAGTGGGCTTGTAGTAGTAGTGGGCTTTTGAGGCCCGTTAGGGTTCCTGTCACGGCTACCGAGGCGAAATGATGTCTCTATTCCCCCAACATCTATAAATACTACTCCTCTTCCTCACTCTCCTCACAATCCTCCTCTCTCTCAAATCTCCAAAAAGGTACATTTTTCTCTCTCTCTCTCCTTTATTTATGTGAAGAAGTTTTTTTTTTTTTTTAAATCCGCCGCCGAGTTCCAAGGTGAGCGAAATCGATTGTAAACCGAGGTGGATTGCGGGTGACGAGGTGGAGAATGACGTGCTACGGTGGAAGGTGTCGATGAGGCGAGTGCTACGGTGCTGCAACCGAGGCGACAACAGATCCGATTCTAGCACCATGGCAAACGAGTAGTCGGCGAGTTGAATTCTGACATCGAGGTGGCGAGGCTGGTTTCGCGGAGCTAGTAGCCGGGGTGGATTGTGACACCGAGGTTTGATCCGACTCGAGGTGCGCCCACGGTGTATGCGTGAGCAATCGACAAGGTGAAAAGGGGCGAGTTGGCGACGGGTTGAAAAATTGTGGCCTCGGTCTCCATCGACGAGCTTTGTCTTCCGGTTCGGCTTCCCAACCGAGGTGAGACGACATGTCGCACCGAGGCGGAGCGAATTGAGCCGCCTGCTTGGACCGAGGCAAGATCGATCTCCAAGCTTGATAACAAGATTGATTTGGGAGCGAAGTCGAGGCTACCGGTGAAGAGGAGCGACGCCGCCGAGACGACTTTGTCTTGCAGCCGAGGTGTCGACCGGGGTTGATCGGAGAAGATGCGGTGGTTTTGTTCAAGAACTTTAGCACAACCGGGGTGACACCTCCTTCGCAACCGAGGTGATTTCGTTGTGAATCGTCTTGTCGCCGAGGTTAAATCGTGAGAGGAAAATAAGGTGATATTGTAAAAAGTGGCCGGGGTGGATTGTGATGGCAGAGAACTCGTTTCCTTTGAGTCCATGGAATCGCCCTCTTGAGGCCGGTCCTTCATACGTTTCTCCGTGCTTAGAAGACTTCGATGGCTTAGGAGACGGTCTTTCACTCCCCGGAGGAAGAGTCATCCATACACCTGGCTCTGATGTAGGTAGCGCGACCCACCTAGTCTCTCCTGATCTCGCAGCTGTCGAGGTCTATGAAGAAGATGAAATTGTCAAGTCAGAGCATGAAGTCGAAGTAGAGAGCGATGTTGACGTACCAGCTACGCAAATTTCCATGAAGAAGAGGAAACCGCAGATTAAGCCTGACCCACCGGGTTCCACGCTCTCCACTCGACAATCCCTGCGTGACCTTCGTGCTCGTTTTAAGATCTCCAAGGAAATTAAGTTTGTTCTTCCTTCCTCGTTAGACCGAGCTGACGACCCTCCGGAAGGTTATTTCACTGTGTATGAGGCTTACTTCGATCTGCGTTTCCTTTGGTTTCTAATTCCGGAGGTCTTACTTCAGTATGTGTGGGAGTACCGCATCACCCTAGCTCAGGTCACGCCTCGTGGACTACGCTATTTGATTGGACTCTTGGTGCTCAGCTACGAGTGTAACCGCGAGCTCACCGTGCTCCACTTGATGAATCTTCTTGAGATTCGAAAGACAGGTAGTAAAAGCAAGGTTAACTACTTCACTTCAGGCAGAGCTTTTTACCAGGTCATCAAAGACTTCCCGAGCAAGGACAAGTTCTGGTTTGAGAAGTTCTTCTTTGTGAAGATAGACGAAGCTTCCGTCGGTTCTAACTGGGTTGATAAGATCTTGACCGAATGGAGGACTCGTGGTAGCGGTTGTTGTAGTTTTTAGAGTAGTTAGCTGTTAGGCTAGTTATTTGGCTCCGTTTGTTGTAGGAATTATTTCTGACACTTTCATGTTCTTTGTTTGTTTTGCAGCTCCGAAGCGGTTGACGAAGTTCCGAAAGATACGAACAGTTTACACGACGCCCTCATCGCTCGACGGTGTCGTTGGAGGAAGCACTTCTCTTTCTGTCGAGTTGAAAGAGCTAGAGCTCAGCACGTTGGTTCCACTCTTTTGGATCACATCGGATCTAGTGTACCCATGTCTACCAGACTTACCATCGTGATAAGTTGAGGCCGACGCTGCACGACGCGCCGAGGAGTAGCATACCGACGAGCGACGCACTGAGGCGGGGACACACATCGAGTCTGCCATACCAATTGCGGACGATCCTATTACTGGCCGGACTGCTCGTCCTCCTTCTCTAGTTCGCGCAGCTTTGACTAGATACGAGTTGACTCGCGCGCCCCGCCCGACCGCCTCCTCTCTAGTTCGTCACGAGGAGACAAGTCACAGGGGCGAGAGTCGCAAGCGCAGAACGGATAGCAGGAGAGAGTCTCATTCTGAGGAAAGGGCTTTCAAAGAGCCGAGATGCTTCTCCTGTGATCGCGGGGCGGCTGCTTCTGAACTCGACCAGACTGCTCCCAATGTGCTTTCTAGGATCACTTTCTCCGGTATTCGCTTTCCTCCACCCGATATCCTGGAGGGCGACGGGAACTACGCTGTGACTGTTCGTCATGGGATCCAGGTATGTCGCATCTTTCCTCCTTGTTTTCAAAAAACGGATCCTCTCTTTTCTTCAAGATTTTTAATTTTGTGTTTCTTTGTCGTTTACAGTTCATCGCCCATCTTAACAAGATGGTTTTGGATTACGAGGCGCAGTCCAGGGCGGGTAAGCGTCATCTTGAGAGTGTGCAGCGGGATGTCGAGAAGCACAAGGACGAGGCGAGTGCGGCGAAGAAACGGTCTGCTGATTCGGAGTCTAAGGTAAAAGGACTTCGCGACCAACTCAGCATGGTGCAGAAGAAGAATGAAGACCTGATCGCCTCCAACGACCGTCGCTACCAGAGGCTACAAGATTGTTACAGTAAGCTGAGGTTGCACGAGAAGCGGGAGGAGAATGTGCAGCAAGCGGTTCATGGAGCGAGGGTTGAGATGGCGACCAAGTTTCGGGAGACTCTTACTCGGATTCCGAGGCAGCTGGACGTCGTTGAGGAGGCTAGAGGGGAGAGTTTCGACATGGCTCAGGCCGAAAGCAACTTACAACTTGTCCAGGAGGCTCAGAGTGACGACCCTCCGGACTTTGTGAATGAGGAGGCAGAACTTGCAGCAGTGGTGGCTGGATCGGCGGGAGCCCATAAAAGGCTTACAGACGAGGTAGAGAACCTCAGGAAGATTCTCAGTGCCCCACCGGTTGAGCTGGATAACAGTGAGCACGTCGAGGTTGCTGCCGCGTTGCTGGGCGTGCGTAACTTCTCGGGGACCAACGGCGGAACCTCGGGATTACATGATCTTCACTTTATGAAGGCCGCGTCGGTCCCTATCACCACGGAGCCGTCGCCTCCTGCACCAGAGGCACTTGCTATTGTTGCTGCCGATCCGACTGTGGTGACCGAGGTGGCTGTCCCTCTTTTAGGAGGTAAGAACTATAGCCCCAAATGTATGTTCTCTGGTCGGAACATAAAACAAAATGATTAAGTTTGCTTTCTTACGTCTTTTTTAGGAGGTGCACTTGAGGATGGCGAGCCTGCTCGTGTTGACGCCAAGACGGTGGAGAAGGTGCTAGAGGAGGCGATCGAGCGGGTATCCGAGGAGGTGGCTGAGCAGTTATCCGAGAGGGAGGCCGAGGTGCCCGAGCAGGTAGCCGCGGGAGGCGCAACGGATGAGACTGCAGAGCACGACGGGATGGAGGTCGATGAGACCGTTTAGTTTTTTTTTTTTTAATTCTTGCTTTGTTGTTTCTCGGATTTCCAGTGTTGCTACTCTCTTTTTTTGCTTAGATTTTGGACTCGGTTTTTAGCACCTGGATGGTTTTATTCCTTTGTTCCAGACTTATCGCAGTGATGCGAAATGCTATTACAACCTTGTCTTTCATTACGATTATCTTCTTTGAGTAACGACGTACTTTCTTTTCATAAAAGTACTAAGTGCCAAAAGGCGCGACTTGTCAGTTTGTTTGATGAAGTTGACAACGTACTTGTCGGGGTCGTGATGATTCTTCTGGTTTGTGGAGAAGGCGTTACTGCCGTATCCGCTCCAAGAGACCACCTCGTTTTGTTAGTAGGATTTAGCGTCCAAGTTAGCAAATTTCATCTAAAGATGAACGTGCCTTAGACTTCAAAGTAGTTTGGCTTTTGTGCGGGTTGTCATTGATGCATCCATTCTAAAAATGAACATGCCCTTTGATGGAACCAACGATATGTTAGTTTGATTTTGAATAGTCGGTTCAGTTTACAGGCGAGTCTCCATTGACATGCCCGCTCCGAAAAGACCAATCCTGATAAGACCAATGACCTGTTTGTTGGGTTTGTTGATAAACATTCTGGTTTACAGACTTGTTTCCATAAACGCATCCGCTCCGGCAACGAACATAATCATTTGTATAGCGCGCTTTGTAATCCGGCTAAGGATATTATAGTCAGATCTGAAGTGAGTGTTAAGGTTCGTTACTGTGGCCATCAGCAACGAAAGGGGTGAGATGTCTGTTTCGATAAAACTCAGTGTGTAAAAGATGGAAAGCGATAACGTGTAAAAAACTTGTGACTTTTATTCATCATAGAATTTTTTACA